TGAGTCTGTGTTGTGAGTCTGTGCTGAGTCTGTGCTGTGAGTCTGTGTTGTGAGTCTGTGTTGTGTGTCTGTGCTGAGTCTGTGCTGTGTGTCTGTGTTGTGAGTCTGTACTGAGTCTGTGTTGTGAGTCTGTGCTGAGTCTGTGCTGTGTGTCTGTGCTGTGAGTCTGTGTTATGAGTCTGTGTTGTGAGTCTGTGCTGAGTCTGTGCTGTGAGTCTGTGCTGTGTGTCTGTGTTGTGAGTCTGGGCTGTGTGTCTTTGCTGAGTCTGTGTTGTGTGTCTGTGCTGTGTGCCCGTGCTGTGAGTCTGTGTTGTGAGTCTGTGCTGAGTCTGTGTTGTGTGTCTGTGCTGAGTCTGTGTTGTGAGTCTGTGCTGTGTGTCTGTGTTGTGAGTCTGTGTTGTGTGTCTGTGTTGTGAGTCTGCACCTGTGTGTCTGTGCTGAGTCTGTGCTGTGTGTCTGTGTTGTGTGTCTGTGCTGAGTCTGTGCTGTGTGTCTGTGTTGTGTGTCTGTGCTGTGAGTCTGTGCGGTGTGTCTGTGTTGTGTGTCTGTGCTGTGAGTCTGTGCTGAGTCTGTGTTGTGAGTCTGTGCTGTGTCTGTGTTGTGTGTCTGTGCTGAGTCTGTGCTGTGAGTCTGTGCTGAGTCTGTGTTGTGAGTCTGTGCTGAGTCTGATTTGTGAGTCTGTGCTGTGTGTCTGTGCTGAGTCTGTGTTGTGTGTCTGTGCTGAGTCTGTGCAGTGTGTCTGTGTTGTGAGTCTGTGCTAAGTCTGTGCTGTGAGTCTGTGTTGTGTGTCTGTGTTGTGAGTCTGTGCTGAGTCTGTGCGGTGTGTCTGTGTTGTGTGTCTGTGCTGAGTCTGTGCGGTGTGTCTGCACCTGTGTGTCTGCACCTGTGTGTCTGTGCCTATGCATTTATGCACAAATCTTTGAGATTTCCTGAGATGGGTTGGCATTTTTTATAGAGGAGGAAATAAGATGAAGTGTGTGTGTGTTACTGAGCAGAATTTGGGTGTTGGGGCTGTTCTATTCTCTAGCTCTTCCCATGGGGTCAAAACTAGCATCTGCTGAAAGATGACTGGGCTGTGTCTCTCGAGTTTTCAGGGCTCTGATTTTCTCTCTCAGATTAAGCATCATGTACTGTACCTCCCGTGAGTGTCATTCTGACTGGATAATAACCTGGAACACTCTTAAAGTACTGGCTTTGAGGTTCACGCCTCCTTTCTCCTTTTCTTGTAGCCTCTGAAGAGCTTCTTGGTTCAGGATGGGAAATCACGTGGGGAAACGCGAGCCACACGCGGAGAAGACCAGCACGGTAAGGAGGGCCTGAAACTGGGACCCACGAGTGTTCTCGGCAGTAAACACACCCACCCCCCCGGGCCATGTCGCAGGCTAGAGGCGTGGGCTGCGGCTACACTCTTCTCTGACAGCTGGGTGGAAGCTGAGCTCCAGTTATTATGATTATTATCAATAATTTACTCAGGAAGATTGCATGTCCCTGGGTAGGTTGTGACCTTGAAGGAAGGGAGGGCGGAAAAAAGAGAGAGGAGAAAGAGAAAAACAGGAAAGGAAAGATGAGGACTTTGCTTCTCAGTGGTCTGACGTGATCTTCCTAGAAGCTTCGGGAGATTCTCAGAGAAGAGACTGTAAAACTCCTCTGCTCTCATGAAAAAATACTTTCATTTTATCAGTGGTATTCCAAATTGCACTCTGTCTGCTCTTCCCCAAGATTTGGTGACAGGACAGGAGACCTTTGAGCTATTTCCTCAGGCCCTCCCTGAATCAATGACCACCTGCTTTCCAGGCCCCTCACCTGTCCTCCCCCCTCCCGGGGCTGTGCCCAGCCCTGACTGCACCTGTGCGTCTCCAGAGAGCTCCCAAACCTACCCGGCCCTTTGCCCACCTCTGCGCTTCAGATCCAGGTGCCTATAGGGCAGGGAGCCCTGCCCTTGAGCTGCCAGGACTTTCTTCTAAGACACTGGCTGGTCACCTGTCGTCCTCCTCTGATAGGGACTTCGAGACTGTGCTCAGCGCACAGATGACACCCACAATCTCTGTGACTGGCCTTAGCCGCAGCACCTTCCTCCACAGCCCTCTCCTAACCTTCCTAGGTAGAAGGTTTGGAAAATGCAGATAAGCAAACAGGAAAACTATAAATTATAAACCATCCAGACCTGTGCAGCTAGTCAGAAGCTGCCTGCTCCGTATTCCTAGCGCAGAACTCTCCGTTTTCTGGCTTTTTTATGGGCAACAGCAGCCCCTCTCTGACTCTGATGCTTTGCTCAGCCTTCCACCACCCCGACTCCCACCACCCCCACCCCGTGGTGCCTCTAAGCAGAGGTTCTGGCCCTTTTGCCACCGCATCTCAGGGGGGATGATGCCCACAGGGACCACAAGTGACCAGGCCTCCTCCTTTCACTCTGTGGGGACAAAAGCCTAACATTGTGCACAAACTTTAGCTCTACCTTAATTTGGGTGGGGGGAAACATTCAATTTTCGATGTCTTTGATACTTTAAATTGACATAAAATTATACTACAAGTTAAAATGACAGAGCAAGGTCAGGAGTTTGAGACCCGCCTGAGCAGGAACAAGACCCCATCTCAACTTAATGATAGAAAGGTCAGCAGGGCATCGTGACAGGCACCTGTAGTTCCAGCTGCCTGGTAGGCTGAGACAGGAGGATCACTTACGCCTGGGAGTTTGAGGCTACAGTGAGCTATGATGATACCACTGCACTCCACAACCCTGGTGACAGAGGAAGACTCTGTCTCACAAACAAAAAACAAAAAAAAAATGGCATTCACATACAGGTGCTTCTAAATGTCCACTGACTTGATTGTGGCCTGGAGACCACCTTGCTGTGGACCATAGTAGTGTTTTTATTTAATAATAACAAACTTTGCAGTCATGTGCCCTCTGATTTGTCCCTGGACTCAATTTCTGGATCAGCCAAACAGGAATTTTCCCTGATTTGTTTTCAAATCATCCATGTAAATCTAATGAGTGGTTCCATAGTGTTACTGTTTATATCTTATCTTAATTAAAGTTATGAAAAGTGTTATCTACAGTATTACCTAGTTTCTTGCCTAATGATTTAGAAGGATCAATTTTATAAATATGTAAATGAATCTAGTAAATATTGGATGGGGGTGACTCATTCAGTCAGTGTTTAAACCATATTACTGATAATTCAGTTGTAATTAGCATTAACATTGAACTGTAAACTTATTGTTACTGTAAAGAACACAGTTTAGACACATTGCACCAGGAGATACAGTTTCAGCTTAAAGCAAAATCAAAACAGTTCTTCTTGGAGATCCCCATGCTGATAACACCGCATGGTAGTTTGTCTCGGGATGACTGAGGGGTGCAGCTCCGGCTTCCAACACCCTCTCTGTGCCGCTCAGTTTCTTTCCTGTTGTTGGATGTTGTAAAGCCCCCAAATGTATTTTCACTTTCGTTCTGCCAGGGTAAGATTTTTGAGCATGAGCCTATACTTCAGTTTTCATTTTCTAAAACCTAATTTTTAAAGTTCTGATCATTTAAAATCATAAAATATTGGGACTTTAAAACTATGGTTTCTATAGGTAGTTTTTACTAGTAAGAACTTTAAAAAAAAGAAAAAGAAAAAGAAAAAGAACTTGATAGAAAACATTTGATGCCACTCAAAGCTGCGTTCTCTGAGGCTGCATGGCCGGGGCCAGCGGCTAAACTCACAGCCCAAAAGGACAGTGCTGCAGAGCTCCCTCCCATCCTGTTGGGAAATAGTCAGAAATACTTCCAAATGTTTCTGTCTGTAATACGGGAAGGCACTTCATTGCCAGAGTGCAAGGGGAGTCTTATCTGTCCAGAGTGCTGTCCACTGATCTGGGAGTGGGGAGGGCAGCTCCCAGAGCCCTAAGCCATGTCCAGCTGGAGGTGCAGGTCCTCCCTGCCAGCCTGCCTCCTGCAGCCTTCACAGACACTGTGGGCAGGGATCTGCTGCCAATCTCGTGGGTTAGTTCATCCTCCGACGTCTCTCCATGGGATCCAGAGAGGACTTCCCTCTCTGGTGGCTCACTCTCCGGGCCCTTGGACATCACTGGCATGTAGCTGACTCCCAACTGTTTGAAAGAGTAAAGAGATCATATCCATTTGCCAACTCCCTCTCCAACAAAAATTCAGTTTCCTGGGCACGCTCTGCACTCTGCAGGCTGCTAGGGTGGTAGGTGGGGCTTTCAGTCTTGTTGGCAAGTTTTTACCACTGTGACACAACACCTTCTGATTCTTCAACACCACCAAATTCCTGAGGTTCCTCTCTCATCTTGAATGAGCCATGTCAGGATGTAAAAGGAAGGGCAGGTGATCATAGGGGCAACCTTGGACTGTCTCTGACTGCGGAATAAACAGAGGACAGGTTTGCTGAGACTACACTGTCACCACCCCAGGCAGGTCCACATACCAGGTAGTGCCATAATCACAGCCAGCATTATGCCGTCCAGCACCAGAGCAGAGTGTGGGGCATCCAGGGGCAGGAAGACCCCCACAGCCGAGGGCCCAGCCCCTCCCAGCACGTGACTCACACCTGTCCATGAGTAACTACTTCCTTCATGTGGGAGCAGTTTCAGTGACTCACTGTCATTCTCAGAAATGAAGAAACCCCTGGTTGGCTTTTGATTCCCTTTTTTTATTTTTAGTCATGGTGAAGTTTGGTTCCCTCTCTTATGCTTTGCACACTTTTTATCCGTCTGCCCATTTGTATTTGGTTTCCACGTTTACTGCAGTGACTTGACAGGCCTAAGATGGAAAGGGCCCTGGCTGCTGGAGGAGGGGAGACGAGTGCCTGCAGACCCCTCGCGGCAGCCTCACACCTGCCCAACGGTCCTTGGTGCTCAGGACATACATGATGTCATCTGTGGTTGGCATCAGTGGAAGGGTTGGGCCAGCTTCCCCGGGGGTGGGGGGGTGGGCACGAGTGAGAACACATCCCTCACTCTGCTGTGCTAGGCTGGGACTTCATCCCTGCCCCACTGGATGTTCTGGCTCTCCGCCCGCCCGCCAAGTCTGCTCTGGATTTCCAGGTAATGCTGCAGCTGCACCAGCAGCAGCCCAGTAGCCAGGGATGCCGTGGGCTTCCTCTGCGTGATGCGTGGTGCCCAGTGGCTGGGGACACTGTGGGCTTCCTCTATGTGGAGCATGCTACGTGGTGCCCAGTGGCCAGGGACACTGTGGGCTTTCTCTGCATGATGCCTAGTGGCTGGGGATCCCGTGGGCTTCCTCTGCATGGTACGTGGTGTCCAGTGATCAGGGATGCTATGGGCTTCCTCTATGTGGTGCATGGTATATAATGTCCAGTGGCCGAGGATGCCATGGGCTTCCTCTGCATGGTGCATGGTATGTGGTGTCCAGTGGCTGGGGACACTGTGGGCTTCCTCTGTGAGGTGAATGGTATGTGGTGCCCGGTGGCCAGGGACCCTGTGGGCTTCCTCTGCATGGTGCATGGTACGTGGTGTCCAGTGGCCGGGGATGCCGGGGGCTTCCTCTGTGTGGTGCGTGGTACATAATGTCCAGTGGCCAAGAATGTCGTGGGCTTCCTCTGCATGGTGCATGGTACGTGGTGTCCAGTGGCCCGGGGACGCCGTGGGCTTCCTCTGTGAGGTGAATGGTATGTGGTGTCCAGTGGCCAGGGATGCTGTGGGCTTCCTCTGCATGGTGCATGGTACGTGGTGTCCAGTGGCCCGGGACCCCATGGGCTTCCTCTGTGTGGTACATTATATCAACATCCTAAAGCAGCTTCAGCACTAGCAAACACCTTCTCACAACTCAGAGGCTGCAGGTCTGTATGCGGGTGCATCAGGGCTGGTTTCCTTGGGCAGCTCCTGCTCCCTGGGTCCCATGTGGATGTCTGTGTCCGTGTCTCTGCCTTCGGTAAGAACCTCAGTTGTGTGGGTCTGGCTCCTGCCACCCATGACCTCATGCTAATTTCCTTACTTCTTTGTACAAGTCACATTCTGAGGTTGTAGGGATGGGACTTTGACATGGGAGTTTGGGGAGCACACGGGTCCGTCCATAGTGTGGGTGCTACTGGGTGAACCTCAGCATGGGGGTGAGACACCTGCATGGGTGAGAGCAGGAATTATCTCCACCCGGGGCCTGCTGTCTGCCACCTGTGTCTGATGCTGGTGCTTGCTATGGAGAGGAGGACAATGGCCACATTATCACCTGCCCTCAGTTCCCCTACCCATCCTCGTGAGACCACAGCTTGTTTCTCTTCCATGAGCTCAGAGGAGGAACTCGCAGCTCGAACCATCCTTCCCGCTGCCCCACAGCCCGA